GCAGGGAGATAGGGAGGGAGGTGTGCGTGGTCCTCTGTGGGGCCTGGTGACAGGCACTGTGACAGCCTTCCTGGCTAACACATGCGGGTTCCAGGAAGGGGACTAGCAAAGGCTGAGGATCCCAGCGAGTTCAGGCAGGAGCGAGCCCTCTTAAGCAAACACTGAGGACAAGAATCATTCCCATTCAAAGCAGGACTCCCTGGCAGGCTGGCCGGGCCTTCCAGCACAGAGCCCTTTTCAAACATCCAGCTTCGCCCCTGAAGACGGCTGGGGAGGGGCACATGCGGGCACAGCTGCACTTGAATTCCACTTTTCAGTGGCTCCACTTCCTGGCGACCTACTCAGGGAGCTGCCCAATAAGGGCCCACCTCAAAGCAGCCCAGGAGGAGAAAACCTGTGTAGAATGAGTGTCAGCCCCTGGGGGGGCAGGGGGGCCTGGTCTCTGGCAACAGCAAACCCAGACCCTAGCCATTCACGGAGTGCTGCTGCGGACGCTCTCAGATGCCAGCCTCCCAAGTCCTAACAGGTAAGTATGGTCACTGTTGTTGCCCCATTTCACAGATGGAAAAATGGAGGCTAGAGATGTCATGTGGCGAGCACCTCTCCTGGCTCTAAATTCTTCTTACTGTATACATCATGTTGCTCTGAATCTGCTAATTGTCAAACTAGCAAAATGTTCAGGAGGGGCTCTCCCCACTAGGAGGAGTGAGGGGGATAAGGATGTAGCTGGGACCTGAGACACGTCCACAGCCAGGGCAGCACTGGGAATCACCCCTCACCATCCCTGACGCCACCACTCCTGACTACGGCATCTGGGCTGGGGTGCAGCACTGTCTCCAGGCAAGAGCAGAGCGGCAGGTTAGGCAACGGTGCCTCAGTGAGACCTATTGGTCCTGCCTCCAGAACAGCCTCCCGTTGGCCCACTGCATCCAAGGCGTCAGTTTGGAATCAGCCTCTGAGCCGGCCCCTCTGCTTCCATTCCTGTTTCCCTTTCAAGCTACTCTCTACTTAGTAGCCGAAGCAATATATCTTTTTTACATTTTTTTCCACTTATAAGCAATTCATGACCATTGTAGAAGGCTGGAAAAATCAACAGCAGATAAAGAAGGAAATAAAAATCACCCCTACATCCAGTATCCAGAATTAACCTCAGCAAACATTTCAAGGCAGCCTTCTAGTCTTCTCTCTACGTATGTGTGCATGATGGGCGTGTGTACACATACAGTGATCTTTACAAAATTGCTACTACTCTATGTAGTTTTATATCAGTTTTTTTCTCTTATTATATACATTTTCCAAGTTATAAGCTATTCTTTTTTGTGTGTGTGTGAGGAAGATCAGCCCTGAGCTAACATCCATGCCAATCCTTCTCTTTTTTTTTTGCTGAGGAGGACTGGTCCTGGGCTAACATCCATGCCCATCTTCCTCCACTTTATATGGGATGCCGCTACAGCATGGCCTGACAAGCGGTGTGTCAGTGCACGCCCGGGATCCGAACCCAGGCCGCCGCAGCGGAGCGCGTACACTTAACCGCTCACCACAGGGCCGGCCCTATAAGCTATTCTTTTTAAACTACACTTTTTGGTTTTGGGGTTTTTGGGCATAGCTGATATACCTATGGTACAACATGGTACTACATTCAGAAAGGACAAAAGGATGTACAGAGAAAACACCATCTTTCCTTCATCCTATTCCTCAGCCCCCATTTCCCTCCCCTGGGGCCATTCTGATGACCATTTCTTGGGTACCACATAATCTTTCAAAATTATAAATCAGATCATGTCACTCCTCTACTTAAAACTCTCCAATGGCTTCCCATTGCCCTGGGTATAAAATCCAGGCTCCTAACCAGTCCTACCAGGCGCTGTGTGACCACCCTCCTCCCACTGCTCCATCTCCCCCTCCAGCCACACTGCTGTGGCAAACCCGCCTCTGGCCGCAGGGATTTTTCATTTGCTGCTCCCTCTGCCTGCAATCCTGTCTGCAGGTCTTCGTGCAGCTAGCTCCGTCTCATCCTTCTAGCTTTGGCTGAGCTGTCCTCTCCCCAGGTCAGCTTTCACTGGCTTCTCAACCTAGGGCCACCCCTGCCTGCCCCCCACACATACATTCTCCATCACATCACCCTGTTGGATCTCTTTCACATCACACAAGATCTAATATTGTCTTGGTCACTTATTGTAAAGTTATTTATTGCCTGTCTCCTCCCACTAGAAAGAAGGCTCCCTGAAGGCAGGCACACGACCTCTCTGGTTCACCCCTGAAGCCCTGCTCCTAGTACAAGGCCCCGCACACAACTGGCGGTCAACAGATTCCTGTTACAGAGAGGAATGCGGCGACTGCAGTGCTGCTCCTCATCACTGACAGCGGCCCAGCCGTGGGTCTCCTAGCACCAAGACCCAACCTTCTGGCCATCCCCCATGTCTGGGGTGGGGTTAGAGGTCAGAGAAAGGAGAGAGGAGCCATTCTCCAAGGCAGCAGGACTGGGGGGCAGCAGCCTGCTCTTCCTCCCTGTCACCTTGTTGCTCAGCTCACCCCATACTTATGCTGTGCATTGCAGAGTCCAGAATCAGACCAGGAGCTTGTGACAAATCCAAATTCCTAGAAAATACTCCATCTGCAAGTGAAAAGTTGAAGGTGACACTTTTGTCCCTCACTTACCCCAAATCCCACATCCAATCTGCCCAGGCAGCTGGGGTCTTCCAGGTTCCCAAGTGAGCCCCCACGGGGGGTGACAGAGATGCCACCCAGGGAGCAGTGCCCCCCGGGGAACAGCCCCAGCCATCCCACCTGACTCTCCCCTGGGGCCCTGGGCACCTGGGCTCCTCTCTCCGGAAACTCACTCAGCCCCAGAGACACAGATGCGCATCCAGTCCTGAGCCAGTGGCCCAGGGCGAGGACACTCGGGGGCACCCTGGTGGAGACACTTCCTTCCTGGGGCCTGCTTTCCACTGAGAACACTGCAGTCGGGCCAAGATTGATTTTTAAGAATGAGGAAAAGCAGGGAATGAAGCGCCTTTCACAAACATTGTGAAGAAGGGAGGGAGAAAGGGAAAAAAGAAAAAAGACTTAGCAAGATGGAACTTGACAAGGAGTAGGGAGAGTCGGAGGAGTCCAAATCAGGAAATGGTGGGAAGAAGTCTGAGGTTTCTTCCTTCCCAGATGTGGACAGTCACTATCATTGATGAAATGAGCACAACCCCAAAGTGCTCTCCTGGTCTCCACACAAGGTCACTTAGGTCACAATGACAATAACAGCCACAGTTCCTCCAGCACTTTCTTTATGCCAGGCACTGCTCTATGAGCTTCGCTTTATTAAGACTTTTAATCCTCAAGACAACCCCATGAGGTAGGTACTGTTCATATTAAACCCATTTTACAGGTGAGCAAACCGAGGCACAGAGTAGTAGTTTAAATGTCTACAGTGGCAGTGTCTGGGATCTAACTCCGACCCCGGCTCTTAACCTCTAAGCTACATTTGGCTTCAGTGGCCCAACCAGGGGGTCCCCACACTCCTGAGTTCATGCCTCCCAACCAGTATCCCTGAACTCATCATCAGAGGCCAGTTTCAAAGATGCAGGCATAACTCGGCCCATCTTGCATGGGGGAAAATCTGGAGAAGGTAAGGAGCTCGCGCGAGCTCACGCTGCCCACAGGTGGGCAATCAGGCCCAAATGTGCTGAATCCCAGCATCAGGAGCTCCACTTCCTACGGGAGCTCGGTGGAAAACAGGATCTCTGGAAACTCGGCCCCGAGCAGCATCTTCTCCGTCTTTCGCCAGGCCCTTCCCAGAGCCAGCGCCCAGGCGCCCTGCCCGGAAATTCCCACAGAGTCAAAGCAAACTTCCCAGGAAAACTCCTCGGCTAGGGGCTTCCTCCTAGCCCCCGTCACAGAGGCGCTGCCAAGAGCGCCGTTGGAGTCCTTGCAGCTGCCGTCGGCCCTCCAGGGCGGGAGCCGCCGCTCGTGTGCTCGGGGTCCTCTAGGAGAGGTCCAGGGCTGAAGTTCAAAATCCACTTCCCGCCCAGACCAGCTCGCGGCCCCGCCCGGGACTCCCCGGCAACCCCCACGCCTCGTGCCCTCCCCAGTCCCGGCTAGGGAATGGAGCACCTCCAGCCTGCAAGACCCAGGCGGCAGCTGGAGAATCCCGCGGACGATCCCTGCGCGTGTGGGGACTCCAAGCAGCCGGCGCGCACGTGTGTGTGTGTGCGCGCGTGTGTGTGTGTGTGTGTGTGTTTACGTACGGAACGCGCGGGGTGGGAAAACAATGGCGAGCCGCTGGGAACACAGCAACTAGCCCCCCTCCCCACCTCCCTACCCCTAGGCACGATTTGCTTTTGCAGTGAAATAGGGATGAAAAGATTCACCTCCGACATCCAAAGGCGGGAGGTGGGGGCGGTCAGAAGAAGACTAGGGTGGGAGGTGGGCGGGGGGTGAAGCTGGAGCAGCCGGAGCAGAAAACAAACAGAATGCAGCGCCCGGCTGGGCCGCCGGGGAGAGAACCTGGAAGGGTGGGGAAGGTTGCGTGGCTGGACCCCGCACCTCACACAACCAGGGCGGGGGGGAGGGGTGGTCTGCGATTCAGCGCGGGCACCCGAGCCACACGCGGGGCGCGCACAGGTCGTCTCGGCTCCCCGCAGGGAAATCCTTGAACTAAGCGCACAGACAGGCTGGTGAGCAAGACCTAGTGCCCCCGGCCGGTCGGCGAGGAGCGGGCGCGGGCTGGGGGGAGACACACCAAGCTCTGCTCGCATGGAGCGCACACAGACCCAGAGCCACCCACCGCCCTACCGGGCTGCCACCCCTCTCCACAAGCACCCGGGTCTGGACGGCGTTGTTGGGGGTGGGTGGGGTCCGTTCCTTCCCGAAAAACTTTGCGAAGGATGGAAACTCGCAGAGATGAGAGCCGGCGTGTGCCCAGAAACGTGGGGACGCGAGCGTCAAACTTCGGAGGGCTGGGGCGAGGGGCGCGGCGGCGCGCTGGGGCGCGGAGGGGGCGCACTTACTACTCAGCCGGGCGCTGGGCTCGGGCTCCGCGCTCCTGCTCCTCCTCCGTCCGGTCCCCGCGGCTGGCAGCCCGGGCTTCCCGCTCACATGCCCGGCGGCGCTGCGCTTGGGCGGCGGGGCTGCGGCGCCGGGGCTGGGAGGGGGCACGCCCCCCGCCGTGGGCCCGGGAGTCGCTCCGCACTTGTGGCCACCGTGGGTCCCCGCCCCACGACGGGCCGCCGTCCCGGGCGGAGAGCGCGGTTCCGGGAGGGCGGCGTCCTCCGCGAGCCAGGCCGCTCTCTGCCCTCTGCCCTCTGCCCGCCGCCGGCTCCCTGCCTTCCGCGGTCCTCTGCCCGGCTCGCCGGACGCTGAGCCGGCTCCCCGCTCCGCGTGCCGCGCCTCGGCTCGGTCCGGATCGGCCTCCGCGGCTGACCGCTGCGCCCGGGCTCAGAGCTGGGCTCGCCGCTCCGGCCGGGGCTCCAGGAGCCGCGCTCCCACAGTTCAGTTCCAAGCCTGGACCGGGAGCAGGGCGCTCGCGGCTCGCTGCTGCGAGGCGACTCCGCAGCCTCAGAGGAGAAAGAGGGAGGCAGAGCGGGCAGGGGGAGGAGGAGGGAGGAAGGGTGGGGAGATGGAGAAGGAGGGAGGGGAAGGAGGGAGGGACAGAGAGTTCTCTCCTCCTCCCCACAGCCAGGTCCAGCCAGGCTTCAACAGCTGGAAACCTCTGTTGGAAAGGGGGAGCTAAGGTTCCTGGGCGGCGGGGGTGGGAGGAGGTGAAGTGAGGGCGTGGAGAGAAAAGAAGAAAGAGGTGGGTTCTGCCCGCTCCCACTGCCCAGGTATGACGGTCGCTACAGAGAATCTTCGCTCCTTAGAGCAAGAACCAAGAAGTCGATCCAACTCCCAGCCTCCCAACCCCTCCAGACAGACAGCCTCGATTTAGGCTTTTTACAAACTCCGTTTCAGAAGCTCCCTTAGGAACGTGATCCCACCTGCAGCTAGACAGCTTCCTGATGTCTCAGACCACTCCCTAGTCCTGTCGTTTTGCACTCTCTCCAACAAATCTTTTATTTTTTTTCCTTCCCTGTTCTACATAAGGAGGTGGATTTCTTTAGTTAAACGTATTTATTAAATGCCTACAATCTGCTGCACCCGACTGGGTGCTGGGGACATCAGGGTAAACGTGATAGTGCCCTGCCCTTTCTGGATTCCGTTTTGTGAAGGAGACAGATGAGTGAACAAATAATTACAGGGCAGTGGAAAATTGCTGAGATCCGGCAAGCACATGGGGCCTGGGGGCCACCAAGGGCATTCGGGTGTGGGGACTGAATCTGTCTTCTTGTGGGAGGTGTCATCTGAACCGGATCTTGGGAGGACGTTGGGAGTGGAGCAGGCGATCACGGGACTGCAAGCAACATGGCCCACGGTGTGGGGGCCCGCATCTCAGCAGGTGATGGCTTGTCCCTCACAGACCTTCCAAGACCTCTGGATTTCATCATTCCCCACCGCAGTCCTTGGCTAGCTCCTTTCATTCATCTTTTAGGTCTCAGCCCAATACTAATTCTAGGAGCCTTTCTTAATGGCCAAATCTGGGTCAGGAGCCCCATCTATGTATGGCTCTGGAAGCCCCCAGTGGTGGATGGTATGGTAACCATTCGTCTGTCTCCCCCACTGGACTGTATGCTGCATGAGGGCAGGGAGGTGTCTCTGTGGTTCACTGTTACATCCCTTGCTTGGCAAAGAGCGGGCCCTTGATAAATACTTTGATATTTGATCAACTGGTTGATTGAAGGTAGTGGGGAGTCACTGAGGGATTCTAAGCAGGGCTTCTGATGAGAGCAGTCCAGTTGGACAAAGGGAGGCCAGTGACCACACAATGGCACTAACCAGGGTACAAATGATGCAGGCCTGAGCTAAGCTAGGGGTGGGGAGGATGGAAAGGAGGAAACAGGTGCGGGTTAGGAAGTGGGAGAAGTCAATATTAACTCTTCAGGGTCTGGCTTTTGGATGAGTGTGGACGAAGCCATTTCAGAAACCATGAAGGAGTTGCCCAGATGCCACCAAGCCTTTCCTCCTCCCGGCCAGCATGCCTGTGTTTTCCATTTATTGGTGGTTTTTCTCTGGCCCCTGATCATTTTCATTGGGTACCTTCACTGTTTATCCCTTCCTGTAGCTGTCCTTAGCCATGGCAAATTGAGAGAGAAAGCGCAGAGAGGTGGGAGGTGGGCTCTCCTCTCTCCAACACCCCCATCCACTGTATCTCCACCAGAAGCCTAGAGGAGGGTGCTTGCTGGTTGGTTCAGGTCAGGTCAGGTCAGGCCCAGCCTAGCGGAGCTTGTCTTGGTGGCAAGTCTTCATCCTGCTGACTGAGGCAGTGCTTTTCTAGATACCTGTAGCCAGACTTACGAGTCAGAAGTGCTCAGCTGAGCCGGGTCTTGCACTGGGGTGAACGCCACAGGAGCGACTTTTCAGAGGCAGGCCATCTCTTCCATCTACACTCCACTCAGTTCTACCCGAGCTTTCCCGAGTCACACTCGGGTGTGGAAGCTAATCAAGAAGATAACAGGTTGATTCAGAGAATGTTTCATTTGCCTCTCAGAATTTGAGAGTAAAAGATCTGGAAGGAATCAGCATTCCAGAAGCATCTCTTCTCTGTGCACAGGAAGGAGAGAGATCTTACCCAAGGCTGGTACTTCACACATGTGATCTCCTTTATCTGTCAACAGCTCTGTGAGGATGGGACAGTTCCATTTTGCAGGTGAGGAAAATGACACTCAGAGAGGGGAAGAAAAGTTTGCAAGACCACGTAGTGAAGAGGCAAGAGCTGACATTTGAACCCAGGTTTTCTGGCCTTCAAATCCATGTGTTTCCTGCTCTACCATCCTGCTTCTCTTCTTATAGGGTTTGATGGTCATTAGAATCTGAACCACATAAACTAACACTCGAGTATTATTCAACAGCCTAGATTCTGGCTTAGACCCTAGAAGTGAAAACAGCTCTCTGCCTCTTATGTGACAGTTGGCCTCCTGTCTCCTAACTGGAGGACTTTCTCCCAAGGACAGAGGACTCAACTCATATCATCACCCCCCAGCACACACACAAGGACCCTACTCAGTGCATGTGCTCAGCTAATGCTGGTGGCTTGAGTCCTTTTTACACACACACACACACTTCCAAAACTTTTCTGCTCCATTTTTCATGTGTTTAGCTACCATGGGGACTTGAGCATGGGGAGAGGGCTGGAGTAGTGACTCTCACTGCTGGAGTTAGCGCACATTCTCTCTGTGTAAATTTAATTATTAGTAGTAGTCCTAAACGCTGGGGGTAAAAATCAGGCCGCATGTCCTACTGATCAACTTGGAATGGGTGCAGGGCAAAGACAGGGCCACCTCCCTCTGAGAGGGCGCCCGCACACACATGCACAGACACACAATGGTTGTTTTTCTCTTTTCTTTTTCCATTCTCTCCCATTCCTTCCCACAGAGGGGGGCCAATGGGCCCCACCTGAAAAGGCAGCTGATGGAGGGAGGGAGGGAGAGTGAAGAGGGTGTTCCCTTCCAGAAGCCTGGGCAATTTAGAAAATCCTGACATTGCCTCCTCAGTCCTCTTCCCCTCCACCCCCTACCAGCTACCTGGCTTACAGTGCCCCTCCCCCACCCCCTAACTTTTTTTTTACCCCTATTTCCTGTCTTGAGGAGACCTAGATCCTCATCCTGGGAGGGACTGGCAACAATTAACAAAGGCACCATGGAGGAAAGACAATTAACAATCCAGAAAAGAAGGGAGAGAGAGGCTTTGTTCTGGTCTCCATGGCAACGGGGGTGGGGGTTGGGGAGAAGGGGCCATCCGGAGAGGCTGATACTTTCACTTTCCTTTCATCCCTCCCTCCTGTCCCCTCGGGTTTCTGCCAGGAAGACTGAGGGCGGCTGGAAGAGAACAGGCCTGGGACAGGCCAAGTCTGCAGGCTAGAGATTCAAAGTGGGTGACTCTAGGTTCATGGCCTAGCTAAGAACTCACTGGGAATGAGGGCCAGAGAGAAAGCCTTAGGGCCTGAATCAAAGGCATCCTCCCTTCCTTCTCCTTTTCTAAAGGGCTCATCCTGTGCTAGGAACTGTACCCAACCTCTCTGCTCTGGACCACTTGTGGTCAAAAGGGGCTTGGTGGCTTGTGCTTCCTTCCGCATCAGAACATGGTGGGAAGTGAAGGCGGGGGTAGGACTGGCCACCACAACTTGCAGGGCCTACTGCAAAATGACACGCAGCACCCCTTGTTCCGAAACTGTTCAGAATTCAAGATGGCACTGGCAAAGTGTGAAATCAAGCACAGGCCCTCTGAGCACAGGGCCCTCTGCAGCTGCATGGGGCGAACGCCCAGGGAGCTGGCCCTGGCAGAAAGCACCTGGGGCCTGGGCTCTGTCTGCCTGCTCAGTGTGTGTGTACTGGGCAAGTCTTTCCTGCTTGGATTTCTGTTTCCTCAACTGTTAACGAGGAGATTGAACTAGGCGATCTTTGGCCTGTGCTTCCTCTTCTACAGGATGAGAGGAGAAGGATTTGCAGGACTTCAGTTCTGAGCTCCACTTTGGAGTAAGAGAGAAACCAAGTACAGAGAACTCATTCCCAAGAGTGGGGTGTTCTGGCCCAACTCCCCCAGGCTTCCCTGTTTGGAAAAGGCAGAAGATGATGAAGTATAAGCTCCAGACCCTGCTAGAGATCATGCTGTCCATTTGGGGGGAATTAGAAGGCACCTTCGATCTCACAAGGTGTCGCCAGCAGAGCAGAAGCTTCTTGGCCTGAGAAGCCAAGCACTGCAGCCCAGCTACCTGGTGGGCCTCTGATTAGCCACCAGAGTGTGGGGGCCAGGACGTTTCTTGTTCCCTACAACCCTACCATCGTGAGAGAAATGGGTTAGGGACTCCTTCTCAGGCTCAGCCTGACTGCCCTGTGGGTCTAAGTGAAATGAAGACTATTAATCAGAAACCCAAATCAAGGAGAAAAAAAATCAGTTCCGTTACAGGCCCCAAACCAGGCAAGAGGTCAAAGGTCTTGCTCTCTGCCTAGAGGGCATCCTCCCAGGGACTCCCTGGAGGGATGCTGTTATCGGCTGAACTGTGTCCCAGCTTCCCCAAATTCATGTCAGAACCCCTAATACCTCAGAATGTGTCTAT